TGCACGCGCGTTCCTCCCTCCTCGTTCTGCACCGCACACCCGTACCACTGTCTGCTCGAGACCTGCCTGCATGTAAGGTTTTGCACTTAAAGCCACACCGAGGACTAACGGGGGACAACTGGCTCCGCTCCAGAGAGTCCCCAGCTCTGTGGAAAGCCCCCTGTTTGGGAGCGAAGGCATCCTGGAGCCCCAGACTCTTTTATCACGTTAAGATTGAAAACAAAAAATCTCCAGTCACATCACCGGTGGGAGAACCTCCGTGCAGAGTCCTGAAAATAATGAATATGTTACGGACCATTATCCTTCCTGGCCACTGCCGTTCGTGAGACGACTGTTAAAGAAATGCTTCTTCCTTTAGAGACACGAGAGAGGACTTACAGCTTCAAATCTTCTCTGTAGGGCTGAAAATGCTGGTAGCAAGCACTGTTCTGCCGTCATGAGAGACGAGTGGGACCTAACAGATTTTTTTCCTTTGGTTTCAGTGGGAGAAAAATGTCACATTGGGATTCTGGTGAAGAAAAAGGCACGAAGCCTGTGAGTGCACAGCGCTCGGGGAAACGCTGGGAACGGCAGCCCCTCTGTGTCGGCTGACAGCTACAGTGATCACACTAATAAGGGGATACACATTTAGGATGGAGGGATACGCAGGAAGATGCCGTACCACCGAAAGCACTCGTGGGGAGCCGCATCGCTGCTGGCAGTTGCTGCCGAATTTATCAGACGAGCGAGCGAAAGCCGCAGGGGCTTGCGGAGGGCGCGGGGCTCGCTCGGGCGCTGCAGAAGCGCTGCCGCAGGTCCCTGCTGGTGCCGCTCCCCAGCCAGGCTCGTTGTTCAGCTTTCAGGTCTTTTTTTTTTGCTTGTTTTTCAGATTGCTGGCGCAGTGATGCTCACCCACGTCCCTGCACACGCTGGCCTTCCCACGGAGCGCGTGTGGGTGGGTCTGGGTCTCAGGTGGGTTTGGGTCTCAGGTGGGTGCTGCTGCGCGGCACCTCGGTCCCACGCTGCACACCCAGCATCGAAGGGCTCCCCAGTTCAAGAAAGATGAAGAGCTACTGGAGAGAGTCCAGTGGAGGGCTGCGAGGATGAGGAGGGGACTGGAGCATCTCTCCTGCTACGAGGAGAGGCTGAGGGAGCTGGGCTTGTTCAGCCTGGAGAAGAGAAGGCTGCGAGGGGACCTTAGAAATGCTTACAAAT